GTTTTGACATCCAATAGTGAAAATTATGAATTCCAAAGAATGCACTCTTGAAAATTATTCATTAACTAGGGGGAATCAGATTTGATATTTCTCACATGTATTTGATAATCATTGATGTAAGAAAAATGGGGTAACTTGTTTAAGTGAATTTTAAGTACTAAAATGCATCAAAATGCAGGATTTTGTGTGCCGGACCCCCTTTTACTTGGCTTTGATTATTTTCAGGATTTTTAGGAAAGGGACACTTTCATCTCTGCTAAAAGAAAAGTTTGTGAGAAGTAATTTTAAATTTTCAGTAATGTGCACTTATATTTGTCACCAGTTTTTATGCTCCACATAGATTTAGTAAATCTGAAATTATCATCCAAAGAATTACATATATTACATTAAAAAAACACTATATAGTGATAGTACAACACTATAGGTGTTCAAAAACAAAATAAATGAATATGGTTGTGAATACGAGTCTGAGGTTTAAATTTGTAATTGTAATAATAAAGGTTGAAAACAATAAGTGTTAAATCTCAAGAGTATGCTATATTTAAATTTTTCTTTCCAGACAATGGAACATGGACACAGTTGTGGTTAATCACTGACTACCATGAGAATGGATCTCTCTTTGATTACCTAAGTAGATGTTCAGTAGATCCAAGCAGCATGTACAAAATGGCTTACTCTATAGCCAATGGTCTGTCTCATCTACATATGGAAATTGTAGGAACCCAAGGTATGCACAGTGTTTATAAACTATGTTAGCCACCCTTGCAAGAAGAGGGACTCTTATGGTTTATTTTTGTTTTGGGGGGAGGGGTGAGATATAAACAGATATAAACATGTCTTAATTAAGTTTGACTACCACTCTTTGAGCAAAAGCATTCTTATACAATTTGAGTTTCATGAGTATTCCATAGTATTGAATGTGGCTTATACTTGTGACATAAGCTGAACAAGTTGTTGTGTGGATACTGAACATGGTTTATGTTTTTAATACAAGTTGCACTAGTATTTTCTGGGTAGTGAATGTGGACTGTGTTTTAATATAAAATGCACTAGCTATTTTCTAAGGTATTGAATATAGCTTATGTTTTTGACACAGGTTGGCAAGTTTTGTGAGTACTGAATGTACCTCATATGTTTAGCTTTTACTAACTTATTTGGAAAACACCTTTTATTAAGTATATTCAGTTGCTGTTTCTGTAATGCTCCTTAGAAAGAATATCAGTTTAACTGAACTTGTACATTCTAGATTTAAAAAAAAAATGTTTTATTTGGGAAGAGTTAATCATGGTATGTGGATGAAAAATGTTCCTTCTTATGTATCTTTGAAGTTCTCCTTTATTTGTACAATAATGGAAGTATCAACCATTACATGTTTAATTACATAACTTCAGGAAATTAAGGTATGTGTTTGTGTAGTACTAATGTGTTTACAGTTATATTTCTGTTATGTGCAGAACTGAAATTGAGTTTGGTGTAAACTATAGGTAAGCCTGCAATTGCTCATCGAGATTTGAAGAGTAAGAACATCTTGGTCAAATCTAATGGAACATGTGCCATAGCAGATTTGGGACTAGCTGTCCGTTACGATTCAGCAACAAATTCTGTAGACATCCCTCCCAATCCAAGAGTGGGCACAAAGAGATACCTAGCACCTGAAGTTCTTGATGAAACAATGAACATCAATCATTTTGATTCTTTCAAGCGGGCAGATATTTATGCATTTGGCCTTGTTTTGTGGGAAATAGCCTGGCGCTGTAATGTTGGTGGTAAGTTAATTATAACAAATTTTATGTGTACTTAACCCTTAAGGTCTCAACATCTTTATTTTCTGTTGACTTTTACTGTGCATTTAATTATACGAAACATGTTACCCACTATCTAAACATTTATAGAATACTTTAAAAATATTGCTATTTGTTATGGAAAACGCGCCATGTTATGTGTATTGTGCAATTGCTATTTTGTTGAATAAAATGTGCATCTATCAAATTCAGTATAATTTTATAATTAATAATATACTTCTTTTCAATACAGTGAAACCTCATTAGTAAAGACATCGACAATATAAACAAATCCTGACAGTGGAAAATATAATCACTAATCCTTATATTTATGTTTTGAATCCAAACAGCTGTTTCTTATAATAAACATGCATTTCCTGTGGCTATAGAAGTCTGTAATCCATAAATGATTCCACGAAAGTCAAGCAAGGGTTGGTCAAAACAGTGAATAAGGTGATAACTACTGACCACAAAACGCCTGCACTTGCATTGTGTACCAATGTATAGCAGTATTTCTGAGAACAATTTTCAGTTGCAGTGGTACTAGTTTATGGCAGTTTTTCTGAGAATAATCTTTACAGTTAGTAGTGTATGTATAAACTGTAACAGATAGAGAGGTCTTCAGAATGATTTATGCTACAGGCATGTTAGATCTCAGTGCTCCAAACTGAAGACAGGTAGAAATATCAGCACAATTAAAATGTGATGTTTGTTTATACAAGAAAGCAATACGTGTACTGTACATTTTGTATTCTATAAGGAAGTCATAGGTTTGAAGAAAATGATGATTATGTGAAGATAACGATTCAATCTACCACTTTTATTATGCATCTTGTATACCACAGGTCTGTGAATTTAAATTTCATAAAAGTTGTTTTGATTTTAATGACTGATTTTCCATAATTTAGCTATACAGATTTCGAAAATAATATTAATTTTTTTTCTATCATGTAAGGATTTTTTTCAGATTGGGAAAAAAAACTTTTACTTAGATCAAATTTTTATTTTCATTTGCCACAATGAACATTTTTTATTATGTTTATTAACAAAAA